GTAGGGAATATTATTTGCCCTCTCTCCCTGCTTCCTGTGTTTAGACAGGAGAAAATGCCATGTTCCCTGCTTTCAGGAAGGGAGAGGACAGAACAGTTGCCTGTCCTAGTATATTCTTATTAATACCAACCCATGACTTGATATTACTTTCCCTTGCTCACCCACTTAGCTTCTTGCTCTGATACCATGTGGGTGTCCTGGACCTGCTTTGACATGACCAACCAAGCTCTAAGGACTTCCAGCAATATTAAAAACCACCTAATTGGACTAGAGCTGATCTTGGACCAGACTAGTTTCTGGAAAGTAAAACCACAGGGGTGTACAAATGGCAGGACAGTGCACTAGGGAGTCATATGAGTGTGATTCAGTGAGGGCTGCTTATATGTTCGCTGCTGTGGTGCTACCGAGGAAAGACATGATATAAAATGGCTCTTTCCTACTCAACACACCTGCCCCTTACTCACCCTGGCAGTTGACTTGAGGGATTCACAGATCAAAGTATGCTTTACTGCTTTCAACTCTTTTTAAATGCTTTGGCTCTGCAAGGCTAAGTGAAAGCTGGGTTCTCTTTTTCTGTATCACTAACACTGCCTTTTTATTTTAAATCAGTGACATATTGTAAAGCTGTATGTAAAGGAAAAAAGAAGGGGCTGTGGAGGCACTGGCGAGGGTGTAATGTAAACACCCTGCATTTGGGGGCTGGTAGAACACCAGCAATTTGAAAAAGGAAAAGAACTTAGTCTGACCTAGGCACCCTGCACCTGGTGATCAGAAAGCATGGAACACAATATGTCCCAGTGTAAGTGTAGACGTAAGTAACAACTGGAGCATTTCAAACACCTATGAAGCTCCAAAGGTCCAGCTGTACAAATGCATATACCCTTACAAGCATTCTAAGTGTCTGAAGCACTCCAGAATAGTACCTCTTTAAATGAGGTAGTATTTTAAGTGTTTCACGTTTTGTTATGTGTGCACAAGGACAGGTCCTTCAGAATCCCACAGTGCCTTGCTGTAGGGAAGAGAGGGAAAGCAGGGTGGACAGCTTGATAGGCACTGCCAGGTCCACCAGACTCCTGCTAACTCCCAAAGCCTCTGATGCCATTGGAGCTAGGTTCTACAGACTCAATACTTTTTATACTTCTCCACTCTGCTCAGAGTGAGAGAGGAGAAGTCCAGGGGATTTGGGAAGTTCAGGGGACAGAGCATTAGAATCCTGGCAGTAGGAAGCCCTTGCCACCTCCCCCTCTACCAGACCCCTTCTTACCAATCTACTCCCCCTCTCCACTCTCCCTTCCCTGCTACCTCCCTCCCTCTTGGGGGAGGGGGGAGCAAAGCTGCAGGTTACTGCAGCCCATGTAGTGCTCCCTAGCTGGTAAGCTTGAAGCATACCAGCTGGTGGAAACCATGGAGGCTCCAACGTGTCCTGCAGCTTTTGAAATGTTTCTGAGCCTGTTACACTTGGAAACATTTCAAAAGTAATTTCTGTCCAGACCCTGAGAGAACCACTTTTCAGTGTAGAAGCATGCTAACTTCCTACACCAGAGGCAGGCAAAATATGGCCTGCGGGCCATGTCTGGCCTTCCAATTGATCTCATCTGGCTCACAGGCTGCTACAAGGAGCCTAAAGAGGGAGGACTGTGCCCTGTGCTTCTGCAGCTGGGACCAGGCAGCACACAGACTCCTCCACCCTCCCTGGCTTCCTGTAGGCATGTGCAGTCCTGGTATTGTGGCCGCTGGCAGCCAGACCTTCATGAGATAGCGTGTGATGCAGTGTGCTGAGCACCCATCCCGCCCGCCTGCTGTCATCAGCTGCTGCCACCACGGTGCCAGAGTCCATGCCAGTTGGGGTGGGGGGCAGGGTACTCAGCCCGGGGCAGCCAACACCAACTTTCCTGATGTAGCGCAGTAGCAGCAGCTCATCATAGTGGGCAAACGGGCAGGACAAGTAGGTTCCTGGCAGCGGCCGGACAGGATTACTTGGCATTTCCACCCTCCCCTCAACAGCTTACCAACACTTAAGTGGCTCTCCAGCCCAAATAACTGCCCACCCCTGTCCCAGACAGACATTAAACAGCTCTCACATACTAACTTTGAAACAAAGATACAATACCTCCTCTTCTACTGACTGGTACTCCTTATCATCAGGAGCAAGGTCAAGGAGAATAGTCCCCTGGCTCACACAGTGAAATGTTAAGTAAGGATTGGTGCCTGCAGGAGGAAAGAATGGAAGGAGTAAAATCCCTGAAAGGAAACCAGGCTAGCTGCATTTTATCCAGTGTTGCCATCATTAGTCTTGTTAAATAAGCAGAGAACAGGACTAAGTGCATAACATTAAAGGAAAATAACAAGTAAGTACAATCTAAATTCCTTCAAATGCTGTATTAATTGAATGGGCCTTAAAAAAAAAAAAAGAGAGAGAGATTAGTGTATCTGACCATTTCTATTTTATAGAAAATCCTGTGTGTGTTAATAACATCACATCTAAAAGTTCAGTCAATTCAAGAATGAGGTATTAGTAGCATATACATATGTGTTCTCCTTGGAGCAAACCTGTGCGCCACGTTGCAGCTGGCCATTGGGTAGGTACACAAGGGCTGAGATCCTCAAGATTTCCCCTCCCACCTTGTACACATGCTACAGAAGTCTATCAGGGCCTTGTGCCCTGAACATTGCAGGGATTCTTCTGGGTGTTTTTGTGGGCAGCCATTTCCCAAAAAAGAGGGAGAGAAAAGATGATGTCTGCTGCAAGTTTGCTGTGCACTATTTCAGGGAACTCTACTTCCATATAAATCAAAGCAAGCAAGCATGTGTATCTTTGGATACTTCAACATATTTACCTTGTTGCCCTCCTAGAAGTCTCTCTACACCTTTTATTAATTTGTGACGGTGTCCATATGCGTTAATGCCAATTTCTTTTAACTCTTCATGCCCCATGTCTGCCAACACATCAAGGGTTATCTGAAAAGATGACAAGAATCAGTAGCTAGGTCTTCAATGTGTCATAAAGACTAGTCCTATCATTGCAGAAATTATACAGTACTCACACTACAAGTTGGGAACATAATCTCTCATTCCCCTAGCAGATGTCATATTCCAAGTGCAATTCATGTTAATGGAACAATATGCTGTAACATGGTACATGGTCCAGCAATTTATCACCCAATAATAAGCCACAATATGATCATTTAGCCACAAAGATGTTACTTGTAAAGCGTAGGGTATCTCTGCAGTTTGTATTGCACTTTAATTTGAACCTGCAGCATGTTACATATAGGGTGATAGTTTGGCCAAGTCCTCCAGCATCCCAGGGTTGACTGCTCTTGCCCCCACCCCTTCCTGCAAGCGGATTCTCTGCTACTAATGCTGAACTCTGTCGCCCCAGGTGCCTCAGCAGGAGATACCGTAACTCAAGCCCCTCCTCTTTTCCTAACTAGTCTTCAAGCTAAGGCTTGTCCCTGCCTGGACAATTCACCATTTGCACTGCCAGGCCTCTTTGCAAAGAGGTAAGCACTGCAGTCTATAAATTAATTTTTGAAATTAGCGACCATTCAATTTACAAACGTTACGGAGGGGTGCAAATGATTTGTGTAAATCTGAGGTCCAGAGTAGACTTGTTCTACTCTGGACCTCAGATTTACACAATTCATTTGCAGTTTCCTTTGTTACTTTTGTTTTCCCACTGGTATTAAAAACAGGGTTTTTTAAGTAGGAAATAGAGATGCTAGCAAAATGGGCCAGACTAATCTACCTTTAATCAGGCAGATGCATACGAGTGCACCAGTGATTAGGCTTGTTCCATACCTGCTCTGTTTCAAAGATATCCCGAAGATGTTCAAGACCAAGACTTTTCAGGAACTGCGTGATGTTCATGTCAAGACCAGTGACTATAATAAGAGAAACAAGATTACTATATTATCCCAAAATGAGTAAAATAGGATGGCAAGTTATAAAGGTACACAGAGGCACACTGGTATCAGATCAGTTTTGCTACCCAGATACACCCATCAGGTTTTCTAAACAACAGCAATGGTGAAAATGTGTGAAACCTATCAGAGATCCTTCCCCTTTGAATGCTGATTTAATCACTAATGAAAAGTTAAGAAGAACAGTTCCCAAAGAGGAGAGACCATCTCTGTGCACAACACAACAACTTTCAGTCCCTTTGAGTTATGGACATTCCTGGAGTTCAGCATTTACAGTATTTTTGGTTAGTTGGATGTACCTGCCTGATTACACAAGGCAAACTGCGAATACCAACCAACATTATTTCAGCAAGCTAATGTAATCCAGGAGCAAAATTACCTTCTCCTTCTTTTCTTTCTGTTCCTGCTGCTCCATCCCCAGCATTGGAGGCTGCTCCTACTGTTAGTTCTGCCAGAGGCCCTGTAAGGTTATCTATGCTGCTGGCAGCAGAGAGACAAGAGGGAGTAGATGCTGGTGAGATTAGAGAGGCACTAACAACAGTAGCTTGAGGTTTAAAACAGGTAGGCAAGGCTTCTGGAGGCATTGCATCAATCAGCAGAGCTCTGATGTCATCTGCCTGAAAAACAGGAAGCATTATTTACGTGAGGCCTCATTTTCATTAAAATCACTATCTAGGGAAAGAAAAAGATACCTTCAATTGATAATTCTAATTTTCCCATTAAAAAAAGAACTCCAAAAACAAACCTATCCTTGAACAGGTATTCGTTTAGAAGGGACCCTTTTAGAAGACTATTTTGGATTGTTCAGACATTCACACAGCTTAAAACAACTTTTGAAGACTAGCTTGCTTATTTTCAATTATGTTCTGAGGATCAATGGTCCGGCATTGAGCACAGGGTTAGACTAGATGACCTCCTGAGGTCCCTTCCAACCCTAATTTTCTATGATTCTATGATTTAACTTTACTTCCTGTCAGGAAAGGGCTATTCCATGCAGGTTTAGACAAAAAGAAACTTTATAATCAACTAAAATACATCCTGCATAACACAGACCAAGGACTCCCACCATGAAAGTCCTCTTTTGAGGCTGCAACTTTTGCCTGAGTCAACATATTCGTTTTTGCAAGATAACCAGTCTTACTTTAAGACGGGAAGTGACAGAAAATTACCATTTCCCTAATAAGTTTTTCCCAAGTTTAATTATACATCTTATTTCTAGTCTGAATTTGTTTCATTTCAGGTTTTAACCACTGCATCTCATTATGCTTTTTGTCTGGTGAAATAAACAGAACTTTACTATCAAAAATCCCTTCCTCATCTAGGTACTCATGCAGTTCAATCATCTCCACCTTCTCTTGATGAAACTAGGTTGAACTTAAGTCCCTTATTGTAAGGCAGTTTCTTTCAGACCTCAAATTATTCCTATGGATCTTTTCTGAACCCTCTCCAAATTTAACATCCTTCTAACAATATGGACATCAGCACTGGACAGAGTGTCTAGTAATGGTTTCACTAATGCCTTGTATAGGAATAAAGCACCTCGCTATTCTTATTTGATAGTTCCCTACTTATGAAATGCATTAGCCACATATGGTGGCATTCTATTCCTGGCCTAAGGGGCCATTTTTTGGCATTTATGCATAGGGTGGCATACTATTAGTAGACATGTAAACCTGTGTGTGCAGATGACTACATGCTTGTGGAAGCTAGACATGCGCAGTAGGTTATGTATCAGTTGTACACGTGCCTAGCTATGGGTATGCACCCCCTGTGGTTGTGTAATGTATCTAGTGCCAAAAGTGTAGCTGGATGAAACAGATGTTAGACACCAGAGGAGGACAGACTTTCTGCCTTTTGTCTGCAATAGTCGAGTGACTAGGACACTTGACTGTGAAGTCAGAGACCCAGGATCTAGGTTTCCCATCATCCAGAGAGAGTTTGAACCTTATTTCACAGACTAATCACTAGGCAAACATCAATGGAAGCTGCTCTCTGATGCTCCTTTGAAGATGACCCCTGGACAGCCACAAGAGGGACACACATGATTTGTGGGGCCAGGAGGAAGAGAGCAAGGCAGAGGATATATATGGCTCAGTAATGTGGCTGCCATCCCAAACAGATTGGGCCCATAGATCAGAGCTATGTCCTCAACAACGCAGAAATTTTCCTTAGCACTGCCCTCCACCCATTTTTTCCCAATGGCTATTAAATGCAAGGTGCAGAGGCTTAACTTCAAAAGGAATGCCTGACTTGTGGCCTGGTGATTAGAGGACAGAGGTAAGGTATCAGAGAAATCCAAGTTCAGACTTCCAAGACAACTGTCCTAACTACTCAGCTACTGGGGACAGATGATGGGAAGTCTTATCGCCACCATTTCACTGTTGGTTGGCAAATACATAGCTGCAAACTTGTGCAAACTTTTCAGAGTCACCATTTTCCAGGATCAAATGAGAACAACTTTGGATGAAGGAGAGGGGAGACAGTGCAATATGAATTTATTTGGGGAATTGTTTAAATAACTCAGTTTGACTTCTCCCCACCCTCACTTCTTTGTCTCATGTGGCTCTCTCTCTCCTGATACCGGATTTTATCTACTACACAGTTCTCTGTGCCTGCCACTTCCCATACAGCAACCATCAACAATAGGGAGATATGGAACCTAGAATATTCACGCGTCCTGTAAGATATAAAAAACAACTAAAGCTGCCAGTTTTCAATACAACCTACAGCTGTTTATTAATTTGAAGGTCATTCTAGCTCTATTGCCTTGGAATTATGTGTTGCCAAAAAAGGATAGAGAAGCTGTTCAGGAACTGATAATAGCCACTGTTGAACACAGAGATTCTTCCAGAGTCTCACTTGATTTACTTCACAGGTTTAAAGAGGAAAAAAAAAGTACCATGGCTGACGCCCCAACCACTGATATTTTAGGTGGATACATTTAGCTTTGGAAAAATCAAGGTGCTGGGAATGAACCTGAATGTAAACAGGCAGGATATCTTAAATTTTAAGACATGCTGGGATCTCAGTCTATGGGTGTACAGTGATGGGGCTTGTGACAGAGGGGTCATTAATGTGTGTCAAGGAGTCATGACCACACTACATTTCCCATATTTCAGCATGAAGACCACTGGTGCAGTGGAAACACTGATAGTCATTTAATATGCAAACCTGATTCATTGCAACAGCTTTTGATGCTTTATCATATGAACTTACTGTTGCCAGGTCTAAAGGTGTTTGACCTTCTTGGTTCTTCATGGTTGGATCTGCTCCGTGAGCTAATAGCAGAGCACACAGCTGTGTTCTTCCTTTTTGTGCTGCTTCATGCAATGGTGTGAATGCCCATTTATCTGTTGCATTTACACATGTGTTGTATTTAATCAACAGTGCTGCTATATCCACATGCTGGGGAAAAAAAATACTTCTATCAATAAAGTACAGGACCAAAAGAGAACAAAGTAGTACATATGCCTGTACAATTTTTTTGATCCTTTCAAATAACATCTTGTTTGTGTTTTTATTTAGATAGGAGGAACAAGGCTATTGAAATATCCTTTTCATTTCCCTTTTATTTTTCAATATCTTCAACTCCTCCTGTGCCGTCGTGACATTCCTTCCAGGTAATGCTGGTTTCAGTGTCTGGCTGAAGAGAGCATATGAACAATGAAGTAGGAAGGTTGGTGTGCTGCTGTAGCCATGATGGTTCAGGAAATGTACAAAAGACAAGGGTTTTTTATGATATCTTTTACTGGACCAACTGTATAGTTGGAAGAGAAGTCTGGCAAGCTTTTGGGCAAAAAATGTCCTTCTTTAGGTCACCTGAGGCAGCGTGTGCCCGAAAGATGTCACAAAAAAAACCAACCACAAAACAAAACTCATGAACAACAAAGGACATTCCTTCCTCCTCTTGGGAGCTTATCTTTGTAATTTCTGAGGCATGGAAAACAGTGTAAGACAGCTAGGCTAGCTCTCTCCCATCATCATATAAGCTATCTTTCTCCGAGCATGACCCTATGCCCCAGTTTTCTTCTGCCAATCCATCATGCAAGTAGTTCTAGATTTATTATGCATGTGGTCTAGCTGCATTATATATATATATAAACTATCAAGTAGCACTTCTCCCAAAACAAACAATATTGCTTGTTCTTCTCTTCTGTTGACACTAGAGAAAAGAATTTAGGTCTAAAGTGCTGTACGGAAATAATCTTTTTTTTTTGTAAGAAGAACATTTCATACTTTTAGGCCCTGATCCTGCACATCTTTACCCATGCTTCACTTCAAGCATCGCAACAGTCAACCAAGAATTCAAGTGCATAAATGATTGCAGGGCTGGGGCTTCACTGAGGACAAAAAACTGTGTTCATTCTCAAGTCTTAGGTTTCACAAGAAGAAATATTGTTCTGTGGTCAGACAATGCAAGAACAAAGTAGAAATGGCTTAAGGCTTAAGTTTAGTGTGAGCTTTAGAAACACATTAAAACTAACAGCAAAAGCTTCTTTGGTTGTATAAATAAAAAGAGAATCAGGAGGGAAGAAGTGAGGCCATTATATGCTTAAGTTAAAGTGGAGATCAAAGACAGCTTAGAAGTAGCCAAAAAAATGAACAAATACTTTGCCCTAGTCTTTAATCAGGATGAAGAGGTAAGAGGATATTGGTGGCATACCACATGGCTATGAGGACATGCAGAGGGAAAATATCATACCTGCTGGGGAAGGAAAACTAAGACTGCTTGATGTTACCAAAAGGGCAAAGGGTGGGGCAGCAGCTGGATAATTTCCATCCTGGAATACTAAAGGAATTCACATGTGAAACAGCAACTCTTCTAGCATAGATTTTTGTGGACTCCGTAAACTCACAAACAATACTTAGGACTAGATTAACAGTACATACAGGCTGCATGAAGATGTTAAAAAAAAAACAACCCCACCCCACAAGGCACTTAACCGAAAGAAGCAGCTTGTTACTTCAACCCAGCTCCACAGCATCTGTATATATTGGGTGCTTCAGCGGGGCTTGTTGGTGCTTTTAGATAAAGCTGATTCAAACAGCAATTAGATAAAATTACCAAAAAAGCCTCACTAAAATGCCCGATCTATACAGATGTCGGGCAAGCCGGGTCCAACTAACGTGCTGCATCTTCTAGGCATGCACTGGGCTTGGCATGGGAGTGCAGAGAATTTAAAGTGCCTTTTTAGAAACGTCTGCAAGCAGCCATAATGTCCATTTCAAAAAAAGGGAGAAGAGTGTCTCAGGCAATCACAAGCCTGTTAGCTTGACCTCAATAGTACACATGGTACTAGAACAGATACTGAAGGAAAGGATAGTTAACAACATGGAAAGAAATGGTACAAAACATATGGATTTATCAGATGATTGTGTCAGACTAATTTAATACGATTCTATGACAAGATAATGGACTTCTTAGATAAGGGTAATACAATGGAATTAATTTATTTAGGTCTAAACAAAGCTTTTAATACTATTCCTCAAGGGAAATTATCGGTCAGACTTGACAGGATGAGGATCATTGCTGAAATCACAAGGAGCTGGTGCAAAGGGAGTCTGCAGAGAGTTATGCTGAAAGGTGAAGTATCCGACTGGAAGGAGGTCACTTATGTTGATCTTAGCATTCATCCTGTTTAATCTTTTTATCAGTGGCCTTGTTAGTGGAACAGGAAGTGTCCTCACAAAATTTACAGATGATGCTAATCTGAGGAGTACTGCCAAATGTGGCAGAAAACCAGATTATTACGCAAGAAGAGTCAGTTTAGGGTTGCCCAGGTGGCAGCCTGCGAGTGGCTAAGCCACAGCCTGCAGGCTCCCACTTCCTTTACCTCCTTTACTCTGTGCACATCCTGCAGTGGGTTCAAGCACTACTTCCCCCAGCCATTACTGCTTCCCCACACCAGGCTGAGGCTCTTGCAGCTTCCTCTCCTTCCTTCAGCTTCTGTTTCTTGCTACTGCCCCTGGGGGCGGCACAGCCCACGACCTCTCAGAAGTTAGAGTTCTGATTTAAATGATCTTGTAAGATTAAGCATTAGAAATGGAATGAAGCTTAACTATGTCCTGTGGTTTCCAAATTGATAGTAAATGCTTGGGGGAAAAGAAAGGTTCCCAGAGGTATTTCAAGTATGGATGCACTGAAAACCCAAGAGCTCTATGGAATGAGAGGACAGATCACAACACCAGGTAGAAGGGGTGATTGTGGAAGGGGTAAGACAAAGACAGGTCAGACTATGTACATGCACTGGGAACTTCCACTATGGGACTTAGAGCATGTTAAGAAAGCCAAGATTAATGGCAAGGCATACTTGGGATGAAGGGATTCAGGACCCCAGATCGCTATAATCCAAGAAGGGCTAATAGGGGAAAACCAAATTATCCAGGGGGGATATCTGTGGCCAAAAGTCAAGCACTCAGAAAATTAATAACCTGGACTTCAGTTATGAGCGGGGATCCAGGTTTTCCATTTGCCACAGAAAAATGTGGTAAAACCCAGATTTTCTCATTTTAAGGAGAAAACCAAGATTTTCTGCTTTAAAGGAGAAAAACATGGGAAATTGTGGGTTTCTGCTGGGGGGACCGTGAGGGTGGTCAGGCAGGGGACACCGGGCACACATGCCTATGGCTGCCAAGCAGCCTGGAGAGCAGCTCCTGCAGGTAAGTCTGGGGAGGATTGAGGCCCCTATAGTGAGGAAGGGAGGAAGTTGGACAGGGCTGGGGCTGCTGCCCAACCTGGGTAGTGCGTGGGGCCTGGGGCCCAAGGCTGGAATGCACAGCTGCAGGGTCTGGGTGGGGAGTGGGATGGAGCCACAGGCGGCTTGTCTGGGGGGCGGGATAAGAGGGAGGGCATGGGGAAAACATTTGGAGGCAGGCGTGGGTTGCCCACTGCGGGCTCAGGCTCCCTGCTGCCCTACCTGGGGCTTCTGGGGCCCAGTGGGCGAGACACAATGGGCAGAGTGGGGAGAGGAAGCTTGGTGCCACTGCTGCAAGCCCCATGCAGGTAGAGCGAAGTGCCCCCTGCCTGCTCAGGAGCAGCAGAGGCAGTGGCATAGGGTTGTGACCCCTGCTGCTGCTGGGCGGGCAGGGGGTGCTTCACCATGGTGGCTCAGTGGCAGTGCTGAGCTTCCCCGCCCCACTCTGCCCTGCCACTTGCTTGCTTCACCATAGAGGCCCTGGGGTTGGGGGGTGGGAGGAAGGGAGCAGTTCGGGGAGCCCAAGTCTGCAGTAGGCAGCCAATACCCGTTCCCCGCCTCCAACGGGCTCCACGCCTGCCATGCTGCCCATTGGGGAGGGGGAGCTGGGCTTTGTGCTCTGCTCCGCGGCAGCAGCTGCTGCCTCCCGCAGGCGGCACCTGGGGCTCAGGCACTGCGGGGGATGCAGGAGGCTGCAGACCCAGGTCCCTGGCCCCATAGCCCTGGCAGCTAGGTGCCCCCTCCAGCAGGGCTGGGGATGCAGGGGCTGAGGGGCACCAGCAGGGGTGGGGTTAGGGTAACTTGTTGTATTTTATGCTTTAAATAACTTGTTGTATTTTAAGTTTTAAAGTTGCACCTCCTTATACAGTGGTGAATTATAGTATTGTTTAACTAATATATAATAATATATAATTATAGTATTGTTTAACTAATATATATTAGTTTAACTAATATGGAGCCCTGTGCCGCCATGGTGAAGCACCCCCTGCCCGTCCAGCAGCAGCAATATATATCTTCAGCCGTATTTAGTCATTACTTCAGTTCTGTATAGACTCATTATCTGAAATTTTTCATTTTGTTTATCAGCTGGCCTTGAGATGTTTTTGTAGAGCTCATGGTGCTCATTATATTGTATCTTTTCTGTTTTATCACTGTGACAAGTTCTTCTAACATAATATAGCAATGGGCTTGTTATCAGCTTAAATTAATTGGATTTGGCACTAACTGGCTAATCAGAGGGATGAAATGATTGGATATGTTAATGAAAGGTGATAAGGGAGACCAGTGGACAGTACCCAGAGTAAGACACTGGAAAAAGTCGAAATTAAGAGGTGTGCTTGTGATGGGTCTGTTGAACAAAGGAATATGCTGACAGGATAAAATATGGACAGCATACTGACAGCAGAGAGACCAATCCAAGAGCAAAAAGTCATCGAAGGAGTAAAGATGAAGAAAAGCATAAAAGGGGGCAACAAAAGAGTTACGTGTGTGACATCATAAATCCAGCCTTCAACACCTGTCTGGACCCTCCCAGCCAATGATGCACCTTTTGCTTTCAGGAACTGACTGGCCACCTTTTCTGTTGAGCAAAGTAACATCTTTGGTGCGGGGATTGGGTGGCAGCATCAGTCTAGGAGTGGACAGCAGCATGGAATGGGAGATTGAGTGGCAGTACATGTCCAGGGGTGGGTGGCAGCACAGGTTGGGAATCGGGAGACAGCAGAGGTCTGGCAACGGATGGCAGGGCAGGTTGGGGTACAGTTTTCCTCAATGGCTATTATTTCCACATGCCAGGAATGCACCATTGTAGCAGCCATGGGTGCCAAGTACATGAGGGCCCAAGTGCCCTGACCCTCCCCCTTGGAAAGAGGGCTGTCACCTGAAATGGGCAAAACTTTCCACATATCCATCATCTCATGTCCCCCTGGCAAAAACTGAAGTCAGCGCCTATGGTAGCAGCTATGTACACCCTTCCACTAGCTCCCCATAATTATCCAATTTAAAATCTCCAAGCTAAACAAGAAAAGGAAACAAATTACACAGAAAAAATAACTCCCTGTATCATGTTCCTGAGAGTATTTTTTACTGATAAATGGTTCGTCAGTACAAAAAGGGAAAAAGTGAGCAGTCAGCTAAAAATTAGCAGATTGGAGTAAGAAAACTTGCTTGACATTGTCAGCAAAACCCCAAAGATACATGTCAGAGGCAGATTTCATGTTTTCCATTTTTAAGGTAGTCACCAACCCCTAGCAAGAGAGGCTTTATTTCTTAAGATGTGTTTTAAAAGATGGCTAATCTTATCTCTCCTTTTCTCAACTTTCAAGCAAATTGATGGGAATCCCATATTTTTCTGTCATGTGACATAAAACACCATCTAATTGTATGGTAAAAGAGCAGGATATACACAGCATAGAGTGTCACACAGAAGAACCAAAGGAAATCCACTTTTTTCTGAGGAAGGAGTTATATCATATGGAACATGTTAAATAAGAACATCAGGAGTAAGAACACTTGAATTCTGTGCCCACATTACTAAAATTCAGAGATGGTGATGGCTGCTGCACACCTCAGAGAGCTTCCTCAGTGACAAAAAGGCACCCAACACTTCTTAACTAAAAGTGGCTGCTGAAAGATCATCAAGTACAACTCTCATTAATGTTTTCTATAATGATCATGTTACGGAATAGAATGGAATTATATATATATTTTTAAGTAACTACCAGCTTGAAACAATTATTGACAATGTTCTGTCCTAAATATTAACCAATTTCTGTTTTGGTGACTGAGGTAAACATTAAAACATGTAAGGCAGAAATGATGCATGTTGCCTTGGGATAAACTCTAGAATTACTGCTTGTCAACCTTCTGCAGGTTTGATCTTTAGAATGTGAATACACAGCACAAGAACTGCCATAATAGATTAAACCAGTGATTCTTTTCTATTATTATTTTATATTAAATACAGGCCAGTATTTTGTCTCAGAGTGACCAGAAATGAGGGTTACTCACCTGTACTCATTTAAAGAGGGACACTGCAAAATCATGACCTCAGGATGAACCAGAGATGCAGTTGTGATGGTAGAATGCTTCTGCAGCAGTGCCTGCTTGACTGTTCTCTCATTTTTTTGTGCCCCTCCTCTACTGTTATATCACTTTGATGATATAGCCAACAAAGGGGGCTGTGACAAACCAACTGTTTTAGTTATTTCCATCATGATTCCTTGCTTTGGTTCAAGATTTTAATGAGGAAGAGAGACAGGTGAACAGGGAGTGTGACTGTAGAATCTATCCCGAAGAACTGTTGTTTCTGGTGAGTAACCCTCATATCTTCACGGAGTAACCTCTGCACATTCTTTCAAGAAAATCATCTTACAAGCAATATTGTCCAATGAGGAAGGTGGGACAGAGTCTTAATTAGATAGTGACTGACATACCACTCTACCTACCTGAGTATCTGACCAAGATGTTAGACATAGATCAAATGTTTTGTGAACATGTGAATAGAATGCCATATAGCAGCTCTGCATATTTCTACAAGAACACTAGGCCTAAAACATGTCAAAGAGGCTGTCTTACCCATTGTGGAATATGATCTAATTGATAATAGGGATTAAAAAGCAGGTCTCTCTCCAATTCATAACCAAATCTCCTAAGCAATCTCGATGAAATAACTGCTTATCCTTTATTACAGTGTGCCTAAGATATAAGAAGATTTGGTAACTTTCTGAACTCTGACTGTATTTAGGCTTAAAACTAAAGTGCTTCTGGCATCTAATATGTGACATTCTGCGTTGCCTGAATGAGCAGGGAGTCTAGGAAAGAATAATGGCGTATTAGCTAATTGGTTGAGATGGAAATCTGTTACCACACTGGGCAAGAGTTGAGGGTGGAGACAAAGTTACGGTCCTTGGGGAAACCTGTGAAGTTTAGATTAGCTCACAGAGCTTGACTATGGTTAAAATAAATACTATTTTGGTTAACAGCAGAATAGCTAATATTCATTCAGGAGCTCTAAGGGAGGCTTCATAAAAGTCTAAGGTGGGTGTGTCAAACTCATCTGAAAAGGACCCACAGACCGGCCCTGCATGCCAGATCCAGTGTGCTGGAGAGGGCACTGCACATGGCATGATCCTGCTCCAGCTGTGCTGTACGCGGTGGTCTCTCTGGGGCTGTGCTGCATACAGTAGTTGCTCCACCTACTGTGTGCTGGCCAGGCCCTGCATACAGCATGGTCCCAGAGCAGCTGCCATGTGCATCGCAGCCCCAGAGCAGTAGAACAGCATACTACTGCTCTTGGACCGTGCTGCATGCAGCGTCTCCTTTATTGCTCCAGGACATGAGTTGGAGCACCTGCTACGTATGACAGGAAAGGCAATGACATACCCCACATGTTGCTGTGGGTCAATTCTGAGACTCCCAGACAGCACCAGGGGCCAGATGATAGGGCTCTGCAGGCTGGATCAGGCCCATAGGCCATATCTTTTGACACCCCTGGTCTAAGGAGTAGGTTGGACTAATCTACACAGTCTCATAAATTGTCACTGTGCTGTAAGGAAATATAGTGCTAGCGTGAGTTAAGAGGTGTTCAGCTGATATGGCTGATAAATGAATTTCCATGGATGATGCAACGAGAATGAGCAGTTGCAGGAGCAGCAAATACTTAAACATGCGCTGGAATGAAACTGAAGTCAGAACAATATTGTTCTTGGATGACCGAGTTTGGGCTGCATCCCTTTATATCTGTCAGAGTCCTACAGTCTGCGCTGTCAGGTACAATAAATGAGGCTTTGGGTAATAAATCTGGCTGCTCTGCTAAGACAACTGGTCTGGGATCATAGGAAAAGGTCAATATTCTCCTCTAGAGAGATGGAGAAGAACAGAATCAAATCTCAAGCATTTTGCAGAAATCAGAATTGCTTTGGTTTTGTCTTGTTTTATCTTTCTTAGTGCTCTTGCTTAGAGGAAATTGAACAAAAGCCCAAAGACTAATTCCTCACAGCTGAATAGGGACACATTCGAAATGGAATGATTCCCTGCTCTTTCTCAGGTATTCTGAACAGACCTATCGCTGAATAGTCCAAACAAGTGTCTTTAGCAACCACTGCTTTTTTCTTATGCCCTTGCTCAGCTGGCCTGCTTACTTACTGGGCTAACAGCTACATGGTGGCTAAATGACGTGGACAGTAAAACTGGCTGGTATAAGCTGTGAAAGAGGCAAGAAAAACCATTCCATGGCTGATATTTGCAGTGAAAGTGACAAGAATAATTGAGTCAGTATTCTTCTTCTTATGTCCTTGTCATAAATTAAATGTTTTTTCAGAATCATATATAAGTGATGGCTCTTTCCATTGCTGCAGCAAGGTTCTCCTTTGTACAGGTCTCACCAAGGAGTCAGCAAATGAGCAAGTGCTCCATGGTCGGCACTTCACTGCACTCGCATGTATTCATGTAATTAAAGTAGCCCCATTTAATCATGTTTGTTTTTGATCTTCCAGTTTGTGTTGTGCAGGCAGTTCAGGCATCACCATGTTGACCAGTCTGTATCAGCCACTCTGGGAAGGTTCTCCTGGAGTTTCAGATCCATTTCAGGGTATCTGATCGTGCATAATCTTTCCTTCAATAATCTCAGTCATGCCCTGTAAGCCATCGTCTGAGATTCTTGATGACAAGGTATTTAGCAGAATTAGCAGATTTGTTGGAATCGGACAGGGGCCGCGATGTGAACATATGAAACAGTATGAAATCAGTATGAAACAGCTGGCATGCTAAATGTCATGTAAGCAGTGTTGTGTTTTGTTTTTTAATCAATGAGCTCTATGGGGATGGCAAATAGCCAACAATCCTTATCCTGTATTAACGGCGACTCATGTTAACTGTGGGTGGTTTTTCTTAGCAACTTCTTAGGAATTTAAGAGAGTTCTCCTATGCATCACTGACAAAATCACAGAAACATAAGACTAACAAATGGAATAAGCAGCTGTTCAGCTATTTAACCCATGCATGATTGAACTTAAAGACAGAAAGACAACTGAGCACTGGTGGATTACTCTAGAGTAGGGGTGTCACACCATATGGGTCACAGGCTGGATGTAGCCCATGAAGGCTTGCCATCCAGTCTTCAGGTGCTGGCCTTGGGTCTCAGCAGACTTATATGGGGCACAGCGCATGATGGACCACCCCCATGGGAGGGCCCAGGATTGTGCTCGGCTCATGGTATCTGTCCCAGCAGCTCTGGGACCTCACTGGACAGGTAGGCGGGTACAGTGTGGATCTTGAAGTGATCAGAACAGGCACCATGTGCAACCCTGTCTGGCCCAGGGCATGTATTGTGGATTCCTGAATGACTGAAGTAGGTGCCATGCTATACACAATGCCTGCCCCAGCCAGACTACCACATGCTATGCCTGCTCGAGCCAGTACAGGACCCATACTGCACACAATGCCTGAGAGCACCACATGTGGTGTGGGTCCTGGACTGGCTGGAATGGGCACAGTCCAGCTAGGGCTGACACATTGCATGCATCGCAGTGCTCGCTTCAGCTGCTCCAAGATCCATGCTATATGCCTCTAGCTGGACTGCACTGCACATAGCACCCATTTCCCCTGCTCTGGGATCCATGCTGCATGTAGCGTGGACCCCAGACCAGTTGGAGCAGGCCTTGGATCCAACATGCTAGGAGAGGCATGGGGTCCGTGGGTCTGATTCAGCCCATGGACCAACCCCACACCACTAATCCAGCTTGTGGGGCTGAGTGATTTTGGCACCCCTGCCCTACAAAGAAGGAAAAGGGATCATTTACTAAAGCTTGAGACTGTGCCTCTAGCGTCAGATGACAGACTATAACAAAACATTCAAAGAATATTAAAGATCTCAAATGATGCTTAACAAAAGAGAGTCAGACTGGAATTTGGAATTCTGCTGTTAATCCACTGTGTAATACCTACACATTGCATCCCATATCGTACAGTACTGAAATCACAACTGATAAACTGACGCATATCAATCACGTATCACAATGGTATAATTGCAGATATGCCATTCACTTAATTGTCTCTTGGTATTGCTAACAAAATGCCTTAACTATTTTCTACTCTCTTGCAGTACCCAATTTATTTTCCTTCTGATCTCCAAGCCAGCTATTTTTGTCAGCATTCTGTTTGCTGAAATTGATTTATGATAATGGGAGGAGGTCAGGGGAAAAAACACAACTGGAAGAAGCAAACAAACCTGTTTGTCAGGACTGGCATTAACTCAGTGCCACGCACACAGTCTTTCATCTGACCTTAAAGCATCTCCTGGGGTTTTGTCAAATGTTGACTCGATGAAATAGCTTGTAAGAGATTTCTCTCTGAACTCACCCACAAGTAAAAGCAGTATGTGGTGTTTTAGCTAATGGTCTGTCTTACATTTGTGCAGCTACTGCACATAACGATGCTTGACTATATGTAAGTTAAAGCAGTCTTGTGGGGGTAGAAAGAAAGGGTGATCACTAAGGGCTTGTTAACATGGTGAGATGATAGCTTGGTACATCTATTATGGTGAGCTATTATGCACTTGTTAGATTCAAACATGGACAGTCTTTATTCAACACTGAAGCTACAGATGGTTGGTTCTTAACCCTTTTAGACTCATGGCACCCCTTGGAAAATGCCAGCTCTTACTCTTTTTTTGACTATGGAAAAATAACAGAGCAATTCTGCTGTTGCAA